TGGAAATAAAATTTACCAAAAAAAGAAAAGCTCAGATCCCAATGGACCCATAGCTGAATTCTATAAGAAACGTAGAAAAGATTCAATGAAAATACTCTTAAAATTTTTTGATGAAATGGAAAGGGAAGCATTTATGTCTAACTCATTTGTGGAAGCAAGTATTACTCTGATGTGAAATCCAAGGAAAGACTAAACCAAAATGTAAACTATAAGCAAATCTTCCTAATGAACATTGTTGCAAAACTTCTCAGTACTAGTGAGCAGAATGCAGCAGATCATCAAGGTTAAACAACATGACCAAGTGGGATTCATCCCAGGAATGCAGAGCTGGTTCCACATATGCAAATCTATAAATGTGATACACAATATCAACAGAATCAAAGATAAAAATCACATGATCATTTCAATAGGTGCAGAAAAAGCTTTTGATAAAGTGCAACTCTTATTCATAAGAAAAATCCTACAGAATATTGGAATAGATTGACTTCGCCTCATTCAGCTAAAAGCCACTTATGACAAACCAAGAGACAACATTATTCTAAATAGACAAAAACTGAAAGGTCTCACTCTGAAGTCAAGAAAAAGACAAAGATCTCCAATATGACCATACCTATTGAATATGGTTCAAAAAATGTTAGCCATAGCAATTAGGCAAAAGAGAGAAAAAAAGGAATAAGAATATCAAATTAATAAGTCAAATTATCATTATATGCAGATGATATGCTAAGCTACATAGAAGATCTCCAAAACTCCATCAAAATACTATTACAGCTAATGAGAAAATTCTGCAACATAGCTGAATATAACAATTCAAAACTCAAGAGCATTCCTGTACACAAACAACAAACTGACTGAGCAAGATATAATGGAAACAACACCTTTCACAGAAGCATCCAAAAAGATGAAATACTTAGGAATCAAACTATCAAAAGATGTAAAGGATCAATACAATGAAAATGATAGCACTCTAAAAAGGGATATTGAAGCAAATACCAGAAATAGGAAAACTATCCTTTACTTTTTGATAGGAAGAACTACATAGTTAAAATGGCCATACTCCCAAAACTGTTATACAGATTTAATGCAATCCCAATCAAAGTACAATTAGCCTAGTTCACAGATCTATAAACACCATATCTAAATTAATTTGGCAACAGAAGAAACCTAAAATAACAAAGGTAGTCCTGGGCAATAAAGGTAAAGAAGGAGACATCACAGTCCCAGCCTGAAATTGTACTACAAAGCTGCTATAATAACATAAGCATGACACTGACAAAGAAACAAACAAATAAACAAAAAAACCCAAATAGACATGAGGATAAATGGAACACCACAGAAGATGCTGACACAACTACAAACAATCTCAGCCACCTTATATTTGACAAAAGTGTGAAACATATTCACTGGAAGAAAGCCTTCTTAATAAATGGTGCTGGAACAATTGGCTCTCTACATGCTGAAGACTAAAATTAGAGCTATGTCTGTCACCATGTACTAAATTAAAGTCAAAATCTATAAAAAATTAAACATTACAATAGAATCTGGATGACAAGGTAGGTAGAAACCCTGAAGACATAGAATTAGGCAAAGTGTTCATGAGCAAAACACAAACTGCACAAGAAGTACTTCAAAGAATCAACAACTGGGATCTCATTAAAGATTTCAAACTTCAAGAAAATCACCAGCAAAGTGAAAAGAAAATCCTCAGAGTGGAAAACAATTTTAGCCAGCAGTCCCTCAGACAAAGGACTTCTAAATAGAACATAAAGAATGTAGAAACATCAAGCTACCATATTCAAAGACCCAATCCAAAAATGGGTATCAGAGATATACAATCACTGCCCAGATGAAGTAATACAAATGGCAAATAAATACATGAAAACATATTCATCATCACTGGGCACTCAGGAAATGCAAATTAAAAGTACATTAAAATCCCATCTCATTCCAGAAAGAATGGCTGCCATAAGAAATCAACTAATAACAAATGCTGGAGGGCTGTGGGGAAAAAGGAACCCTTCTCCACTGTTGGTGGGAGTATAGACTGATACAAGTAGTGTGGAGATTCATCAAAAAAGTAGGACAAGAGATCCCACTCAATCCAGCTATTCCACTTCGGTGCATTTTCCCAGAATAATTGAAAGCATCATGCCATAGCAATATATGCGTACCTATGTTTGCAGCACCATGACAGGATATACACTTACACTTCCAGGTTGAGCATGCATTCTCAGGGGACGAGAAATTCCCAAAAACTTTGGGAGTTTAAGAAGAGTCCTTCGCTGGGTAACCAGGGAGAAGAGCACAAGGGCCAGGCCAGCAATGGATTTGTGGGAAGTGGTTGACAGAGTAGGGAACAGTTAGCAGGCAGGAACTGAGGTGTGGGCAGGAATAGTTCTGGGTGTTGGGCAGGGAGCATGGACTGAGGCATAGCCAAGGGTGGGTTGGGACCACCCTGTAGGCAGATACCAGGTTTTCTGGGTTAATGTGCAGTAAATGTGGTCAGCATGGTGGGCCTGGAACGGGGTTGAATTCAGAGGCTTAGTGGTTGATATTGTGGAAATTGGCCATACCTACCCAAGATTGATCAGATAGCATGATGGAAATAATCCCTAAACTTTGTATCAGTCCTCATTCACCCAGTCTGTTAGAACAAGATGGAGGCTTTTAGGGCTCTGTATGTGTGTGCATTTTTAGTCTTCTTAATTGCTTTCAAAAATGGATCATTTAGACATCTCAACAACTTTTTTCCTGGATCCAGTAGGGAAGCATCCAATTATGTTTTACATTGAGATTGTTTTGGAGGAGATGCCCTGGGCAATACATAAATATGTAGGGAAGAATCAGCAGTACACAGCAGTAAAATAGCCTCATTCCTAATTCTGTTTCTCAGTCTTGTGCCCAGGTATAAATTGTGACTTTCTCCTATGATTCTCCAGGTGCAGTGTGTGTGTGTGTGTGTGTGTGTGTGTGTGTGCCAGAATTATTCATTTAATAAATATTGTCGAGTCATTCCGTAATCACTGTTTTATGTGTTGTGGCTAAGAATTGAATGAAAGAGACCAAGTTCCCTGGTCTCACATAACTTCCATTTCACTTGGAAGGCTGAGTAAGGGTGCACAAGGAAATAGAATTCCTGACACATGAGGCTTTGGTGAGCACAGAGGGAAAGGCGGAAGGGACCTGAGAACAGTCTTCCCCATGGCTGCCTGCTCCCCACTTTTTTCTCACACTGGGCCTCTCCTCTCCTTGTCAGCCATGCCCTTGTCACAGAGATTGCTAGACACAGCCTGTCCTCCTTCACCATGGAGCCTCAGCTCTGATACTGGGCACACACGACTGCTGCTGGGAGGGTTTAGGGTCCTTGGCGTTGGGAGCTTGAAAGTCTCAACAGCTTCACATGTGAGTGCTTTGCTCCTTTTCAACTGCACCCCTCCAGTCTGGGATCCATGGTCTGGGCAACTTCAGATGCATGGGTGCCCTGGAAAGGATACTGAGGAATGTGGCTACTGATTGCATCTATACTGACTTAGATTCTGTGTAGGGAGAAATGGCATCTTTTACAGTTCTTCCTAACCTTGAAAGTGGTTTAGCATCTAAATGACTCTGCATTTCATTTCAGTTTGTTGCTAGACTGTTTATATACTTAGTTCTTTTTGTTTCCTCCACAGCCCCTTTTGGCATTTTAGACAAGGGTCTCACTCTGTAGACCAGGCTGGCCTGCAATTCCCTATGTACCTCGCTCTCCTCAAACATAGGTTCTACCTGCCTCGGCCTCCTGGATGCCGTGATTACAGGCAACCACCATCAAGCCTGGTTTATTTCCTCTTTACATTTATTGATAACATTTCTGAATGAAATTATGAATTCTGTAAGATTTCTAAAGAAGAAACTCAGATACAAACTCAGATACTCACCAATCCATGAGTCAGATTTATCCAATACTCACTTTTCCCTTTTTCTTTACGGTTCTATATTCTCATATGTGTACCATTAATTGGTTTTGCCTTCTGAGAGTATCATGTGAATATTACTACCATCTACTAGGGCCCCCTCTCAAAAAACAACCTGGTGTATGCATTTCATAATAAAAGATCATTTTTGTGCAGTAATTACCAGAGTTGGGAAATCTGTCACTTTCCTACGCTATTATCTAACACAAAATCCACATTCTTATGTAACTGATTTTCACAGTGTTGTCTTCTATATGTTTTATGTTCCAAGTTCCAATCTAGGATCATGTCTTGGTCTAATGGCCACATCCCTTTAGTAGTGACCCGCAAAAATTATTTAGTATTTGGTTTTCATAATCTTGACATTATGAAGCAAGAAATCTAGGTATTTTGTTGAATTTTGAGAGTGTCTCTGAAGTCAGTTTTTCTTCTGGCAACATGCAACTTAATAATTGTTAGGCAGCCTGAGGGACTCGATGATCTGACACTTTTGATGGCCAGGTTAAAATTAGATTTAGGAGGTGGAGGACTTAAAGAGGTTTGTGGACACACACTAAAATTATGTAAAAGATTTAACTTGAGGAACCATTATATTTGAGGACAAGTATAGTAAATGGTGATATTAATAAGAATATCAAATCTGACATACATACTAGAGCTAAAAGAGACAAAAGAAACAGAAAACAAACCATGATTTTAAAAAACTTTGCAAAGTACAGATATTGAGAATTTGTATAGTTGAAAAAATGTAGAAATTATTTCAGAATTAATAACTTGAAAGGAATACACTCACCATCAAAACCACTGCTATATGTAGTTTTAGGCAGTAGGGTTTGGTGTATTTGAATCAATGATTACATTAGGAATTAAGATATATTTTAAGACAAACACATTTCATTTTGATTTGGAATACCAAAGTGAATAATGAAGGTGATTTTCAAGTCTGAAATTTTAGTGTGGTAGAGAGTAAATGCAGTTAGTATATTTAGAATGTCTGATTCCCCTAATGTTTCCTGGTCTTCAAACCTGACAAAGAGTTGTTCTCAGATCTTAGGAGAATAATACAGCACTTAAAAAGGAAGATGCAGCCCAGCAGCCCTGCACTGGAGGCCAAGATGGAGAAGACCTCCATGGACTCCATCATCTTCTTGTTGCTGTGCTACATGAGGTGGAGAGTGACCCACATACTGCAGAACACCAGCATGCTGAATGTCAGGAACTTGGCTGCATTGAATGGGTCAGGTAGGTTCTTCACCATGAAATCCACCATAAAGATGAACAGGGTCAGGGAGTCCAGGTATCCCAGGACACAGTAGAAGGCAGTGAGGGATCTCTTTCTGCATATGGTGATGATGTAGCCATGCTCAGAGTTTGTGTCTATGTCAATTCAGCGTAGATTTGTCCCCATCCAGATGATGCAGAGAGTGAGTTGGATCAGGGAGCAAATGGGGATGATGGAATTTGATGCCCATGTTACCAGAAACTGCTTCATTCTTCTGCCTGGACCAGTGATTTTAAATGCAAGCAGCACAGTAATGGTTTTGACCAAGACAGTGGAAACAGCCACAGTGAACACAAATCTGAATGTGATTTTCTGGAGGTTACAGGTGGCTGTGTTGGATGGCCAATGAAGGAAAGGGCACAGGGGAAGCACAGGAGGAAGATTAGCAGGTGGTACTGAGAATCAGATTATTGAGCTGCACAATGGGAGTGTCTCAGTGCTTTAACAAGACTGCTAAGGTCAAAGCTGGGAGGACAGAAAAACTCAGAGCTATGTGGATCAGAGCCATCCTTAGGGAATTCTCAAAGAATAGGAAGTCCATAACCTTGGGGATATAGTGATCTCTGTTTCTGTTTGGGTATTCAGGCTTTGCACATCTTGTGCATTGTTTTGCATCTAGAGAAAAAGCAAAGATTCAGCATTTCTTTTTCAGAAATTTTCAGTTTTATCAAGTTGATAGAATTCACTACATTTGCGATATCACTCCAAATACACAGTGGTTAACATACAGATTGAGGTATACCAAATGGTATTTCTATATGCTTGACGCATAAATAACTTTTCTAACTATCTAAATATCATATGAAATGATTCAATTGGTGTTTCCACCATATTCAGCAGAATTGGGTGAGAAGTCATGTCATCCTCTGACTCAGTGAGGTCACCAGGATTGTGATCTCCTCTCAATGCTTCTTTATACTCTCTGCAGTGTTCCTCAAAATAAGCTCTGTATTGGCACAAAATTCAGTGAGACAATCTATTTCAAATATTTCCCTCATTACTAGTCAGATGGAAATTTGTGTAATCCTGATACAACTTGAATATTATAATTGCTATATTGTTATCCATTTATCATTTGTCTAATCTATCACCCTGTCTGATTGGACAATGGTTTCATGGCCTTATATTTTAATTTTCATATGGTGATTCTTGTAATATTCCTTACAGCTCTCAAATTTAAATATTCTCACAGACATACTCGACAACCTAAGTTTTATAATTATCTATAGCAGTTTCTGTTTTTATTTTCTATTTTATATTTTTATTTCTCTGTGACTTTTTTTTATCAGTTTTTCCATATAAATATTGAAAAAATGAATTGAAAATATTTTCATTTTGAATTTAGTTGTCTTACTGGCTTATAACTCTTTGGAGAGCAATTTGTATTTTAATTCTGTTACTTAAGAACAGTGTGTTTTTAAAGCTTTAATTTTTAAAGTTTAAAATTTCCAAATGTTAAAGCTGAAAGTTAGCTTTGTTCCCCCTTGCATTACATATACCATTTGACATAACTGACAGTGTTCACATTAATGATGAAAATAATACTATGTGCAAAATTAGTGACATGGCACACAATGTAATGCAACCGTTCTAAAACAGGTTGTCCACTTTATCCATTCATTTAAGTCCCTAAAATGTACATTATTGTTAGATATTGCAAATATACAGCAAAAAAGGAAACATTTGTATGCTTGAAATTTGTAAGGGAAAAGTTGGTTTTGAGACTTTCAAGCATCCACAGGAAATTTTGAGAAATACCCATGCTTTGACTCATAGGCCTTCGTCCTGGGTCACTGTAAGATTTCAGATTTGCTCAGTCTCTCTCAGCAGTGGATATAAACATAGCTGGTGATGGAAATCAGCACTTCAGTTTAGGATAATAGAATCAGCACTGCCGGACAAGAATATGTACGTGGTGACTGTAACTATAAATGGGTGTACTGAAAGAATGAATCTGTAGATGAGTGGGAAACAGTGCTCCACTCTGATCCCCTGGGAAATAGGCTCAGCTTCCCATCACTGAGAAGTTGTTAGAGGGAACAGTTATCACAGTGACATTCTCCATTATTTACCTGTCTGATTGGAAATGTGTCTCTCTGAGCAGGAAACACAGGTAAAGCAACAGACTGATCTTCCTTCCTGAGGAATTTTTCTGAATCCCGGACCACAGCTCTGACTACACACTGATTGAGGAGTCTAAGAGGAAGAGAGAAGCACAGGTTATGATTTTTACACATTATAGGCAGAGTAAATGTGATGTACACATTTCCAGGTTAAAAAAAACAGGTAGAGGGGTTGGGGATTTAGCTCAGTGGCATAAGCACCTGCCTTGTAAAGCAGGCAGTCGTGAGTTCGATCCCTGGTACCAATAAAAAGGAAAAAGACAAAAAAAAAACAGGTAGATTTTGGTCCTTTATTAGGAACTGATCATGACTTCTTTTCTCACCATGTGCCATGTTTGTATGACCTAGCTATTGAATTGAGGATCACAATGGTTACCTTTCTATTGTTTTTGAAACTTTGTGTCAGTCACTACAGTATCACTTTATTATGTTAAATGAGACATCCCCATATTATTCTCTCTTGCCCCATTCCTTTAGAGGCATGTTCCCAAGCAGTAAAAAAAAAAAAAAAAAAAAAAAGAGGCCTTGTACTCCTGAGGGGATTTTTATCAGGCCATTGTACTTGTTCAGATATAAGTTTATGTTCTAGGAAAAAAAGTGCAGTGAGATGATAATTTGTCTCAACACTGACAGTAATTACTGAGAAAAACAATGAATAAATCAACAAAGCTTTGCCAACATGGAAATACTGGAGAAATTTGTAGAGTTCCAAAGTGTTGCAATCCAGCTGAAAATGCTGCCATGATTTCTGCAGTGATAGCAGCAAATTTGCTGTGTGTCTGGCAGTCATATTTAGAGAGATACTTCTCTGTTCCACAGCCAAAGCAGAGTGTTCCACAAGGTGAAGTAGTCACTGGCAATGGAATTGTAGATGTGGAAACTCAACATCCACATAGTAGATGTGGAAACCCAGCCAGCAGTCCTTGTTTTTCTCTTAAATGGCAAAGTAGAAAACCAATTCTTACTGGTGGTTCTTCCAAAACCAGATTTTCAATTAAAAATTGTATCCATTCCACAAATTGTAACTAGAAAATGGTAGAATATGGTTCATTTTCTATTTTTGCTAACAGAGATATTTGATGCCACAAAAGACAAATATACTAGGAGACTGTAAGATTATTTTCCACGGTGATACCTGCTACATTATGGGTGAAACTTGAACAAATTGCCCAACATGAAATAATCCAGACAGAAACTATCAGAAATCATATAGACTCATTCATGGGATATATTCTGAGTAGACAAATCAATAGCATCAAAAAGTAGACTAGTGCTTTCCACAAATGGAAGGAGGAAATGGGACAAGCTATAGGTAATAGGTGGTAGTGAAAATATGTTGGCTTCCTAGAGAATTTAACAAGAAACAAGAAAATCAGCTTTGTCCAGTGATCATGTGTTTTGGTGCACTGATTTTATTTCAACTACACTTATAGAGGACATGTGCATTTAAAAATATTGGACATTTAGTTGTCACAAGAACAGAAAGTTAATTGCACCTTCAATATCCAACATTTTTAAAATGAGTATTGGGATACTTCAGTAAAGTGATACTTTATAGGCCTGGAACATATAAAAGAAATTTCCATTAATCATAGGAAATTATGATTGAAATACATACCTGCTATCTAGAAGACCATTCACAGAAAAAAATTCAGAGGCTGTGCTCATATTAGGACATGCACAAGTGTAGAAGGAGGTATTTTTACAGTATTATAGCCATGCTAAATTTGACTGGATTTTTTACAAAAATAAGAGTGCTCAAAAAAAAATTTCTGAGTGGATAACAGAACACAGAGAGCAAAGTTGGCCTTCCACTTTTGTGAAATGCAATTGGGGCCTTTATTCTGCCCCATACTCTCATGGACACACAGGTTCCCGGAAGTTTATCTGGGATTAAGATTCTTCTCTACCATCGACTCCTACCTCCCTAACTGTGGCACATGAGAAGAATGAGTAGCTGTCATCTAACCATAGATTTCACATGAACGAAGTAATAGCCAGAAAATGGTCCATTTCATGCTTTTGGTAAAGATAGAGAAAGAGATAAAAGGGAAAGAAATTCAAAATTAACAGTCAAGGAAAAAAATGACAGACAAGAAGTTGCCCTTACAGAGACAAACAACAAAAGTTCTACCTCATAAGTCAGCAGTTCAGTATCATTTATTTCTATTGCATGCTTTTTGTTAAAATTACATGTTAATGATGTCAGGAGAAACTGCTAAGGATAGAGACAGGCAATGAATCAAACTGCACACTGAATGTTTTTTTCTTTTTCTTCCAATAAATTTGGCTGTGGATCTCAGCTCTGGTTGAATTCATCCTTAGACATATTTTAACCATGTGTTTGTCCAAAGTGGACAACTAGATTGGACCCCTGGAATTTAATATTAGTATCAGCCAATAGCTAAGGTTCTCAGACGCCTATGGCTGGAACACCATAAGAAGTCTCAGAAGCAAGCCCTGAGGCAGCAGTGATTTAATTTATTTGAAGTATCTTCTGCTTAATAATGGGATATAAAACATGAGGAATTCTATCATTTGTTACAGAGAGGAGAGAAGAATAAAAGTGAAATATGGTGGAAGGATCAGGAAGCAAGAGAACCTAAGAAATCACCAGTATGCCCTCCTGCCATGTCTTTACAATTTTAAAAGCAGTTCTCAAGATGCACGAACCCCAGCATAACAAGGATGTACGCAGACTGAATCCCACAGAGTCATAGTCATTTGTAATACACACACCCAGAAAGACAGAGAGAGAGAGAGAGAGAGAGAGAGAGAGAGAGAGAGAGAGAAGGAGGGGGAGAGAGAGAAGTGGGGTAGAGTGGAACTAGGGTGTTCCTTAGGCTCAAGGGAGTTGCCTGAGGCAGGTTAGAGTTAGGGTTAGGCTTACAGTTAGGGAAAATTAGGGTTTTAGTGTTCAGGGTCACATTTCAGTGCGCCAAGTGACAGTCCATGGTGTCGAGATGACACAGGGGTCTGGGCTCACCTTAAAGACACACACGTGTCCTGCTTCCCCAAACTCGCCCTAAACACACACACACATGTCCCGTCCCCCAACTTCACACTAAGAGACACACACATGTCTTAGTCTCCAGACTCACTCTAAAAATTCACACATGTCCTCTTCCTCAGTCTCACCCTAGAAACACACCCAGGCTCCATTCCCCAACTTCACACTATAACACTCACACACACCCAGTTCTCCCACTTTACATTAAAACACACACACACAAATCAGTGTCAGACTCTAGCTAAAACTTTCCTAGTGGGACATCTTTCCATTTGGTGGTTCACTGTGTGTTCAAAGTCTTTGTGATTTTTTTTTTCTTTTCCTGGCTCGGGGCTGGCCAGCCACTTTCAGAGATTTTGAAATAAGAGAATAGTGGTCACCCAGCCATGCTCCTCCCAGCTCAGCTCCGTGCAGCTCAGCTCACTGGACTGTGAATGCATCCATCCGGCTGTTGGGATTCCTCTGTGTGTCTGTCAGTCACAAACCCACTTAAGTCCCTTTGCCACTTTTTTGCTCTCTGGCCCATGTTGTAGCTTGGCATAAGTGACAGTGTCTATCTTGTGCCCAGCACTTCATTTTACTAGTGCCCTGGATTTGATGCAGGAAAATAGAAAATGACTTACTGTACAAGTCCCATGAGAAAAGCAGAATGAGAAAAGTGAAAACCTGCTCAACAAAAGGAGGAGGATACAGGTGTCAGTCAATAGAAAATGAATGAAGGATTCAAGTCAAAGTGTTTCGAACTGTATATCTTTTGTGATTCTCTCTTTAAAAGACTCTGTCACTTTCCAGTTCACTCTGATGCCATTGGCTATTCCTTCCTCTGGGCACCAGAGGGCTCAGCTCGAAATCCAGCACTAGCCAAAGATCCAGAACTTGATGGAGACAGAGAGAGGCAGAGAAAGACATCACAGACACGGCACATGACACATTCATTCTAGGATGGACCTGTCGCATCATTGGCTGCACGGGAGTCAGGATGGCACCCCCTTTGGAGTGCTAGGCATAGGCTTAGGCCTAGGCTTAGGGTTAGGCTCAGCATTAGGGCTTTAGTTTGTGGAAGTGAGGGAAGGTGCTCTCACACCAGCTTTTCTGGGGCCAGCATTTTCCTAGGGCTGCCTGTGGACTCACATGAGTGCCTAGTGTTTTCTCCCCATCTCTCTTTCCTCCCATAAGAGGATGGAATTAGCTGTGCAGAATGCCATCTTATCCAAGGATCACACCACGTTTCCTCTGGTTCTCATGACTCATGATACCATAAGAATCAACTTGTTCTCTGAGATGCTAACCACTGCCCTGCAAAGAGGAGCCAGAGTGCCCAGCAGCCCTGGCCTGACATGCCTGGCTATACAGCACAGCACAGCACAGCACAGCACAGCACAGCACAGCACAGCCCTCCTTGCACTGCAGGGGCTGCCTTCTGTAGCTATCTTCTTGCCCCTAGAAGTTGGAAGGCATGGAAGCTCTCCTTGGGGTTGTCAGAGCACCTGAACCCTGGAAGTGCCTCTTGGGATGTGAATGTCCCCTTTACCCACCAGGTGACACTGTCTCATTTGGGTAGAAGAGTGGCAGACAGGGAAACCAATGAAATGGTAGTGAGGGCTATTTCTCTCTCGCAGGTGACCACATGGTGTGGCATTCCATCAGTGCAGGAAGAGATCATCTGTTGGCTCAGATTGATGGGTATATCTCTATTATGCAGGGCTTCCTGTGTCGGGCTGAGGCTTCGTTTGGAGTCTGGAGGCCACTAAACTCCATTCCAAACTCTGGTGGCTGCTGCTGGACACCACTCTGAGATGCTCTCTCTTGGCTATATATATGTATCCCTGCCTGTTCCTGGGAGAGCCCATGTGTGTGTGAGAGGGGGACATCTTGCCCCAACCGGGCCCTGCTCACTGAACAGGCCAAAGTTTCAGGAGATCTGTAAAGCCATAACTAAGGAAGGAGACCATCAGGGAGCACCAGATGGCATGCACGGGAGGCACACACACAGACAGATGGACTTGTTCACCTGTCTGTGGCAAGTGCAGAATGAAGAACTGTACCTACTTACAGACAGGCAATTTTTCCTGGGGCCAGGTCTTTGAGAAACCTACAGCCCCATCCCCATCTGCTTGTCTGTCTGTCTGACGGGTGAGGAGGTAACCACCCTTATGCCTGCTGCCAAGGGTGCCAGAGCAGGTGTCCCAAGTCAGGACACCTGCGGTGGTGGCTGTGTCTGATGATGAACATGGACACGAAAGAGGTAGTGGAAAGTGCTGTCTGTAGTCTCTGTTTTGGATGTATGTAGGGGAACTCAGGGTTGTGTGTGTATAGGTCTGGGTCAGCATCTGGTGTCTCCCAGCACTTGCCAAGGTCCCTCTGGAAAGGAGGCACAGCCACTGGAATGAATCCCTGCTGTCGGGCTTCCCTCCCTCCATGGCGCCTCCAATGATGGTTTTTCCCCCTACCCTTACCTTCAGCCTGGGCTCTGCATAGACCCTTCAGGCTCATATAAGGGTCTGCATTGTGCCCACTACCTACCCCACAGGAGGACCAACACTGGAAGGGGATTGGGGTTACTGAGCAGCCTGATATCAGATCCTCCACTGAGGTTCAGGAGGGAATAGTGCCAGTACTTCCTAGAGGGACTGACCACTAGAATGGCTGCAGCACAGCCTAGTGTGACCCTTATGCTACCACCCTCCCATGGAGGGCTGCAGACACTTAGTTCTGATGAGCCCATGACTGATGAATATCAGATTCTACCTAAATCATTTATAGTGGCATGTCTGGAGCCAGAATGTTTTTTTGAGGATTTGGAGAGCAATGGGTTAGGGCGACGGCATGGTCCTTGGGCATTAGGTTTAGGTCTAGCAGAGGGGGAGAATTATCGACTGGTGAGATAAGCCAGTCAGTGGCTTAGGGGAGCCCCCAAACCCGTTAATTCCCCCCCTGCTCCCTCCCCCACCCACCCACCATAAAGGAAACCTGGCTCTGAGGCTGGATTAGACACCCCAGAACACCTACACCCAGGAAGGAAGTTGCTCTGTTCCACCAGAAAACAACTCAAGACTCCACTTAGATTTCTCCCCATGGAAAAACTTATTGTGTTTCTCTGTTCCAAAGGTAGCACTGAGAAACTTGGAGCAATCTCTCAGTCATGGTATGAAGCCCATGAGAGAAGAAGAACCAGCCAACTAGTGAGGTGAGCCATGCTCCTCCCACACCCCCCACACGCAGGAGAAAAAAATCAACCCTTTCCCTTCATCAGAGGAGGTGGGAAGAGATGATTTTCTGTCAGTATGTCTGATGCTGAGTGAAAATCGATGTCAGACTCTAGCCGAATCTAAGTTGCAGCAGGATATCAGTCTGTATGTTTTGGTGGTTCTCATATCCAGAGCACTGTGGAAAAAATGGGAAAGAGAGTTGAGGTTGGGCTCCCTGGGTCTCAGCCTCCCGGACTTGAACTGGGTACCGATTGGTGCAGGTTCACCACACACATGTGCTATTCCTCCTTAGAGTTAGCTTCCTAACTCTAAGAACACACACAGATGTCCTGATCATCACCTATAAACCTGGCACATGCAGCTCTGCTCTTCTCTGCTCTACTCTGTCATGCATTAGCAAAAAGAGCTTTGCCATCCTGTGGTATACTTATCACTGTAGTAACCGTGTAACTATCTTTAAAAACACAGCTGTTTTCTGCAGCCAGCCACACTCAGGTACCCACTCCATTATTATAAATTAACTGAAGTGCTGCCACACTGTTCTGTTTGCATTGTCACCCTAATAACCTGTTTGCATTGTCAACTTATGCTCCCTTTGTTAGAGACTAATGTTGGTTTGTCAACCTTTGTTCTTTTTGTGAGAGACAAATGTTGCTGTGTCAACCTTTATTCCCTTTGTGAGAGACAAATGTTCATGGAATTAGCAGACCAAGTGCTGTGAATTCTTTTAAGGAAGAAAAGGGCTAACCACTGGCTATGAAACATCTCTGACCTCAAGCAAAGGGGAACAAAGGCCTTCCTCATTCCTGCTCACTATGTACTTTGCAGTTAATGGGCTATAAAAGTCTGTCCAAATTTTAACCCAGTTACACAGCTTTACAAACTCAATCTGCACTGTGTTGCTGGTGTCAGTTTAAATAAAAGCACTCTTTTTCTTTTTAAAAGATGTCTTGCCCTGTTTTTTGGACAACATTTCAGGGCTCATTTTTGGGGTACAACATTTGGGGGCTCATGCTGGATTGAATGGGGACTCACTCCCCACATTATGTTTCACCAAATGATTGGCTTCAAACATCTGTAAGTATTTGGATCTTTTTTATTTGTAATTTAAGTGCACATGTTTGGAGTTGCAGATGAGCCTGGTGCTCCTTCTGCCCTGGAGTGGGACACCCTCCAAGAAAAGGTTTCTAGCACATTAGTGATTCGGGAATTTGGCCTAATTGGTTTTGTTCTTGGTATATTTACACTGTGGAGCCATTTGCCTGTTTGAATCTATTACCTCAGTACTAACATTCAGGTTTCTTTTATTTCTCTTAAACTAATGTTGCACCCATGTGGTTTCTTGGCTTCAGGGTTATAATGAAAATTATTTTGCTATAGGTTGCCAGACAACTGTGAATCAACAAGTCTTTGTGTGTGTGTGTTTGCGTTTTTCTTGTCTTCTCTGGTGCCTTGTGTTGTGTTATTGTCATTGACCAGTTATTGATAACTATGGGTCAGGCATCATCATCAGAGCCTTTGTCTCCCCTTACTTTGGTTAGTAATCATTTCAGAGATTTCAAGGATCAAGCCTGGACATATGTAGAACCACAAAATTCTGGGAAGCTCTGAAATTTCTGTGAGCTTGAATGGCCTGCTGTGGTTCCCAACTGGCCCTCAGCAGGTAGTTTTAATTTCTGCACTGCTCATGCCATCCGACAATATGTCTTTGGATCCCCAACCCACCCTGACCAAATTGTGTATATTCAAATTTGGAATGATCTCATTTGTGATCCTCCTTCTTGGCTTAAAAAGTTTCTCAAGGCATCTGAGCTTCAATTTGGAAACCACTGTCTCCTGGCACCTATGAAAATGAAACCAAAACCTGAGCCTGACTTGTGAACGACTCTTCCAAGCAAGGAGGAAGGACCTCTGCCATGGCCTTACTGACCCTTGGCACCAATTCCTGCTCCTCCTGAACCAGTACCCCCTTCTCACCTTCCTAGCCCTATCCAAACCAGAAGTTATTAGCATTTGGAATCCCCTAATTCCTCCACCTCAACTCCCACCCTTCTTCCTCTTCATGAGATCCCTAAATGTGAAGATCCCTCAGCCCAGTATTTACCTATGTCCCATTTTCTACTTCTAAACTTTACCAATGGAAACAAAAACACAAAACAAAACAAAACAAAAAAAAAACCTTTTTCTAAGGATCCTCAAGGTATTATTTCTCTTTTAGAATCAGTCTTTTCCACCCATCATCCCCCTTGGGATGATTGTTAGCAGATTTTGCAGTGTTGTTGATGGTGCAGGAAAGAGAACGCATCCACACGTTAAGATGAAAAGTGGTGTGTGATCCTGATGGGAACTCATCCTCTGATCCTGAATGCCTGAACCATGATTTTCCTTTGTCCCGACCTGATTGGAATCCTAACACACTGAAGGTAAGGAGGCTCTTGTTTAGTATCACCAGTTGTTTCTAGAAGCCCTTAAAGGCACTGCCAGAAAACCCACCAATTTGTCCAAGGTCTCAGAGGTAAGGCAATTGGCTAATGAGTCTCCCTCGGGGTTTCTGGAAAGGCTACAGAAGGCCTATTGCATTTATACCCCTATAGATTCAGTGGCACCTGAAAATGCAAGAGCCATTAATATTGCCTTGTAACTCAGTTGGCCCAAACATTAAATGAAAATTGCAAAGGCTTGAGGGATTTGAGGGAATGCCTCTTAGACAGATCAGAAATAGCTCAGAAGGTAATCAACAACCGTGAAGATCCCAAACATCAAAAATTGACAAAGGTATTAGAAGTATTGACTGAGAGAGTTACCAAAACAAATGCAAAGTGTTACCCACCTATAGATAAAAAATCAATGTGCCTACTGTAAGGAGATGGGACACTGGTGAAAGCATTGCCCCAAGCTGAAGGCCAAACTGGAAATGGAAACCAAGGCTCTATTGTCCCGTGATTAGGGAAGTCAGGGCTCTCATGCCCCCCCCCCCAGCCCAGGCTAACTCTAACTGTGCAGGCCAATCAATTGATTTCTTAGTGGACTCCAGAGCTGCTCATTCAGTTCTGACTTGGCTCATAGGAACCACTACAGGAAAGAAATTAAAAGTATTAGGAGCCACTGGCACCACAAAGATATATCCGAAGTTTCAAGCTCAGATAGCCCAACCAGGACAAAAGACTATCTCTCATGAATTCTTCTGCATCCCAGAATGCCTAGATCCCTTTCTAAGCTGAGACCTCTTGTGTAAACTAAAAGTTCATCTCAGTTTTGAAACAGCCACACCAACAATGCAAATGGCCAATGGCTCAACTGAATTCCTTGGCGCCAAGGTCCTTGCCCTATATCCTGAGGGTATAGAACATTTATTATTGTAAAATCCTAAAGGTTTAAATGACAATGAGCTATTGCACTGCTGGACACAGAAAATCCCTGGGGTTTGGACAGAATAATCCTTCCAGTCTGGCAGTGAACCAAATCCCTTTGGTGACTGAGCTTATACCTCAAGCACTTCCTATTCGGCTCAAGCAATATCCTGAGTCTGAATGCACTACAAGGCATAGCCAGACATATACTAAGGTTAAAAGAACATGGTATATTAAAATCTTGTGTCTCTCCCTGGAATACCCCCTTGCAGCCTGTTCAGAAGCTGGGCACCTAGGATTACTGGCTGGTGCAAGATCTCAGGGAAGTAAACAAAAGAGTTGTAACTCTCCATCCTACTGTACCTAACCCCTATACTTTATTGAGCCTCTTGAGCCCTGAGAGATCTGGTACTCAGTACTGGATTTGAAAGATGCCTTCTTCACTCTCCCCATTGCTCTAGTAAGTCAACATACCTTTGCCTTTCAATTGACTGACCCCACTACAGGAACATCAGAACAATTGACTTGAACATGCATACCACAAGGTTTTAAAAAGGTGCCCACTCTTTTTGATGAGGCTTTGGCCAGAGACCTTTTGGGTTTCAGAGAGACTACCCAGATATGACATTCTGGTGGCAACAGATTCATATGAAAGTTGTGCAAGTGACACCTAAGTGACACCTTAAGGACTCTAGACAGGTTGGGCTATAAGATCTCAGCTAAAAAGGCTCAGCTATGCCAAAAGCACGTAACCTACTTAGGTTACCAAATCCATGAAGGAAAGTGGACTCTTTTCTCTCAGTGGATACAAGCTGTCTGGCAGATCCGAATCCCTGTAACTAAGAATCAGGTATGAGAATTTTTGGGAGCCATATGTTATTTTAGGCTTTGGATTATGAGCTTTGCTGCAATAACCCAGTCACTTTATGACTCATAGAGAGGAGCCACTCAAGACCCTCTAGAGTGGTCAGAATTACAAGACCAGGCCTTTAGGCAACTGAAATCAGCCTTAACGGAAGCTCCAGCTCTGGCTCTGCCAAATTTGCAAAAACCATTTTCCCTCTAAGTTGATGAAAAATGAGGAATAGAAAAAGGAATACTGACCCAGAGTTTAGGACTATGGCAAAGGCCTTTTGCCTATCTTTTAAAGAGATTTGAAACTGTGGCAGTCAGGTAGCTGCCTTGCTTGCAGGTGATTGCCTCAGTGGCTCTCCTCGTGAGAGAGGCCCAAAAGTTGACATTTGGACAAAATGCTTAATTGTCTTCTCTCATTCACTGGAAACTTATTAAGGCTCCGCCAGATTGACTGCTGTCTAACACCTGAGTTATGCACTATCAGGCACTGCTCCTGGATCCAACTATTATCAGTTTTAAGGAAAGAGCAGCCTTAAATCATGCTGCCCTGCTGCCTGATTATGACCCCTACTTGCCTCTTCACAATTATATTGAGGTCATTGATCACCTCACAGGACTTCAAACCAGATTTGATGCATGAGCTGCTACCCAGAATTCCATCATATTTCTCTGATGGAAGTAGTTACATCTATCAAGGTAAGCGGGTCATGGGGGGTGCCATCAGACTCTCAGATTCTATGGGAACAAACCTTGGAGCCAGGGACATAAGCTCAATGAGCTGAACACATAGCTCTTATTAAGGCCCTCAAGTTGTCAGAAGGAAAAGATAAGTATTAGCTACTGCCAATGTTCATGGGACCATTTATCAGGAACAAGGTTTATTGACTTATGGGGGCCAAAAGATCAAAAATGCTCCCCAAACTTTGGATTTGTTGGCTGCCATTTGAATGCCAAGGAAGGTGGCTATTATCCACTGCAAAGCCCATCAAGTAGGAGATGATCCTGTTACATGAGGAAACAATCTGGCAGACACCACTGCTGGAAAAGTGGCCACAAAATTAGTGGGGATTGAAGACAGCCCCGACATTGTGGCTGATTACACCTACTCTGTCAGAGCCCTTTTACACTCAAAATGACTTGCCTTTGGTAACTCAACTCCAAGGGAAGCCTGAATCCCTGGGGGCTTGAACCAACTGCGTGATAAGTGAGTTCTCCTCCCTGAGAGCTTGGGATGAGAACTTAATGCAACAAGCTCATTGGTCAATTCACATAGGAGAATCAAAACTCTCTACCCTTTTATGAGATCATTTCTTTATCCCTCAGTTATCAAAGCTTACTCAGTCTGTGAGCCATAGGTACCCTCAGTGCCAGTTGGTGAACCCAAAGCGACTGCAACAAATGGAAACCACTCATTATTGTGGGACTAGGGCTGGAGAATATTGGGAAGTAGACTTTACAGAGATGGGGAAGCCTGGATTTCAAAGGTATAAGTATTTGCTAGTAATGATTGATACTTTCACTAGTTGGGTCAAAGACTTTCCATCTAAATCTGAGTCAGCTCTGATAGTAGTCAAAAAGCTTTTATATAAGGTTGTCCCATGAATCAGCCTCACTTTATCCATGGGGCCTGACAAAGGCCCAGCTTTTATAGTGCAGATAACTCAAAAATTAACCCAAGATTTGAAGATCAATTGGAAGCTCCATTGCTCTTACCAACCTCAAAGTTCAGGAAAATTAGAAAGGATGAACCAGACCTTAAAAATGGTAATAACTAAGATGGAATTGGAAACTGGCATGAACTGTGTGAGTCTCCTTCCTTTTGCCCTCTTGTGTGCACAATGTACTCTCTATGTTGGAGGTATTTCCACTTTTAAAGCTCTATGTGGGAGACCTCCTCCTCTTATTCCTAAGATTTCTGAGGAAAAAATTAGCTGATTTGGCTAATCAAGATCTCATTAAGTCCCTCCAGGCCCTCAAGCCAGTACTAACTTCCATCCACTGAGTATTCCGACAACATCCTCTGCCTGCAGTCCACTCTGAAAATGAATACCCTGCAGAGGAACCTGGGATACTAGTCCTCATCAAGAGACATCACCGTGAATCTCTTGAACCATGGTGGGAAGGCCCTTACACCATGGTCCTCAGCACTCCAACTGTGGTCAAAGTTGCTGGAAAGCCTGCCTGGATTCATCATTCTCACTTCAAGTCGGTTCTGTCCTCTGCCAGTGATCAACCTACAGATGAGTGGACTGTTGTATTCTCCAAGGATTCTTTAAAGCTTAAAATTGCCAAATATATCTGATAATCTTGTACTTCTGTGTTGTTCCTTATGGAGACCTCAAGGAGATACCTCATAATCCACTGTTTGGAAGTTGGAAAATTACTATTTCATTGGTGAATTATTGATAGTCAACACTATTGTCCATGGGATAATTAAGATAAATTTATGTGCCCTATTAAATGACCTCCCAGCAAAAATTAGACAGAAGAGAATGTTGTTTGGTCTGCATACCCTGCTGCGTGATTGGTTGCTAATGGAAGAGAAACCAACTAGGTCTTGCAGGGACCTACATAGTCAAAAGAAATTACAGTCCACTGGTTGGTATCTTTGCCCCCCAAATCAACAGCCAGCCTCTGATCACACTAGTAGGTGTTCACAGTCCATAGAGACAGAATATTTTTATAGACATTGGGGTTTTCAATCTATATCTCCTTGGCAGGGAAACAAAGAGGATCATTACATTTTCCTTATGCAGGACACCTCATCTTCCTGTGACCTCAACCAGTGTAATCTTATGACTTTCAGACCCAAAATCCGAAAAGATCCTGTTTGGAAAGTGTGATTTTTTTTAATTTTAAAGAATTAAGACAAAAGAGGACATACCAAAGCAGATCAGAACAGAATAATGTAAGCAAAGTAGAATTTCACTAGAAGACAACCCGTAATTAATAGTTAATCCACAATGTCTCTTTCTTTGAAATAGTTGAATATAACTTCATATACAATAGTATCAAACATAACAAAATAGTATAAAAACATCCAAGAGAACAAGAGTATTACAGGGCATTCAGAACCAAATAACAGAAAACAAACAATGGCTACTCTATTATCTCATGTTCCACAGAAAATTTGTTTATACTTTCACATGTAATACAATCCAACAAGGTACATCATGATAGAGCCAATGGAAAAAGAAGAGCAAAAGCATGGTAGGACTTCAGAGCAGGATGATATTATACCAGTACCTGCTATTATAATGACTTATTTCCTTCAAATTAGCTGTTCATACCATCACAGTTAATAAAATCAAACAAACAATGGCAAACCCATTCCACCTAACCAACGTGATTATTATAAGGCCTCAAAACAATGTAAAGGGGAATCATGATTACCATAAACTCTTATGAACATTTACTATTTCTCTTTTTTTCACTATTTCTTACACTAGGGAATAAATACACTATGGTATTTATTCATGTGAGTTTGATTTATTTCGCTTAAGATTATGGTCCCAAGTTGCACCAATTTATTAGCAAATATGTGATCATTCTTTACAGCTGAGTAGTACTCTATTATATAAAAATACCACATCTTTTTTATCCGTTCCTCAATTGATGGACACTTAAGTTGTTTCCAAGATCTGGCTATTACAAATTGTGTTGCTATAAACATGGGTGTACATATATCATTGTAGTATGATATTTTCAGTTCTGGGAATATGCCCAGAAGTAGATAGCTGAGTGGAATGGGACCCCCACTCCCAGCTTTTCTGAGGAATCTCCAGACGGACCTCCACAGTGGCTGCACCAGTCTACACTCCCACAAACAGTGCAGGAGAGTTCCTTTTTTCCCCGCAGCCTCTCCAACATTTTTGTTAGTAGTTTTCTTGATCCTGGCTATTCTTTCAGGAGTGTGATGTTATCTCCGTGTTGTTTTAATTTGCATTTCTCTAATGACTAATGATGAAGATCATTTTTCCATGTATTTATTTGCCTTTGTATATCTTCATCTGAGAATTGTGTATTCATCTCAGAAGCCCATTTTTAGATTGGATCTTTGAATTTAAGGGGTCTGAATTTTTAATTCTTTATATATATTAGACAGAAATCCTTTGTCTGAGGGACAGTTCACTAAGATTTTTTCCCATTTTGTGGGTTTTCTTGTCACTATGCTAGAGATTTCTTTTGACATGCATAAATTTTTTAATAAGAGGTGATCCAAGTTATTGATTCTGGGAAGTGCTTCCCATGCAGTTTGATTCCTGTGCATGAATTCTCTACCTCCCCTATGTCTTCAAGATGTTTACCTACTTTGTCTTCTAACAGATTTAGTGTTTCTGTTTTAATATTCAAATCTTTGATCCATTTAGATATTAATTTAGTATATGGTGATAGGCATGGGGCTAGTTTTAGTTTTCTGCATATGGAGAGCCAGTTTTTCAGGCACCATTTATTAAAGAGACTATCGTTATTCCAGTTAACATGTTTGGCCTTTTTATCAAAGATAAGGTGGTTGAGTGTGTTTGTAGTTGTGGTTGTATCTTTTAGTGTATTCCATTGATCTTCAGATCTGTTTTTATTCCAGTACCAAGTTGATTTTATTACAGTAGTTTTGTAGTGTAATTTCAAGTTAGGAATTGTGATGCCTCTTGCCTTGCCTTTGTTTCCTGGAATTGCCTTTGCTATTCGAGATATCTAGGTATATATCTAGGTATCAGATGAATTTTAGGAGTGATTTCTCTAGGTCTGTGAGGTATATGGATGGTATTTTCATTGGGATTGCATTGAATCTGTATAAAAGTTTTGGGAGAATGGCCATTTTCACAATACTTATTCTCCTTATACATGAGCAAGGGATGTCCCTCCATTTTCTGAGATTGTCTTCTATTTCTTTTTTCAGTATATTATATTATTCCCTGTATAGGTCTTTCACTTCTTTCAAGAGAGTAATTCCTAACTCTTTTAATTTTTAGATGTTAATTTGAAGGGTGTGGTTCTCTAATTTCTCTGTCCATAATTTTGTTCTTAGTGTATAGAAATGCTATTGATTTTGAGCATTGATTTTGTTCCAGCTATATTGCTGAATTTATTTATTATATCTAAGTGTCTTTCAATGGAGTTTTTGGAGTCTTCTATGTAGAGTAACATGTGGTCTGCAAATAATGATAATTTTGTTCCTCTTTTCCTATCCCTTTTATTTCTCTCTCTTGTCGAATTACTCTGGCTAGTATTTCCAATACTATATTGAATAAGAGCATTGATAAGGGACATCCTTGTCTTATGCCTGATTTGAAGGTAAAGGCCGTTAGTTTTTGGACATTGTTATGATAGTGGATGTTGGTTTGTGATAGATGGCCTTTATTATATTGAGGTAAAGACCATCTATTCAAATTTTCTGTAAAGTTCTTATCATAAATAAGTGTTGGACCTTATCAAAAGACTTTTTGCATCTATAGAAATGATCATGTGATTCTTACATTTGGTTTTATTGATATTGTGGGTTACATTTATTGATTTACATATGTTGAACCATTCCTGCATTCCTGGGATGAATCCCACTTGGCCATGGTGTGTAATTCTTTTAATGATTTGCTGCATCCTATTTGCCAATATTTTATTGAGGATTTTTGCATCTCTTTTCATTAAGGAGATAGGCCTGTAGTTCTCTTTTTTATTTGGATCTTTCTCAGGTTTTGGCAGTAGAGTAATATTTGCTTCCAAGAATGACTTAGGAAGGATTGCTTCCCTTTCAATTTCATTGAAGAGTTTGAGGAGTGTTGGCAGCATGTTTTCTTTGTATTTCTTGTAGAATTCTTCAGTGAATCCATCTGGGCCTGGGCCCTACTTTGTAGGTAAGGGATTAATTACATTTTCAATTTCATTAACAGATATTGGGTTATTCAGCAGTTTTACATCTTCTTGACCTAGCTTTGATACTTCATATGTTTCTTGGAATCTATCTATTTCTTCTGTGTTATCAAATCTATGAGAGTAGAGGTGTTCAAAATAGGTGCTGATGATATTCTGCATTTCTACAGAGTCTGTAGTGAATTGCATGAATTTGAGCTTTTTCTTCCCTTTTTTAATAAGGCTGGCTAGGGACTTATCAGTTTTATTTATTCTTTCAAAACCCAACTCTTTGATTCATTGATTCTTTGGATTGTTTTCTTAGTATTAATTTCTGCCCTGATTTTTATAATGTCCTCCCATTTTTGGCTTTGGGCTTGACTTGATTTTCTTTTTCTAGATGTTTGAGGTGTAGCATCAGGTTATTTATTTTTGTTCATTCTATTTTCCTGATATTGGAACTCAGTGCAATAAATTTCCCTTTGAGGATAGCTTTCATTGTATCCCACAGATTCCTGTAAATTGTATTTGTATTTTTGTTTGCTTGTAGGTATTGCTTAATTTCTTCTTTTATTTCTCCTGTGACCTGCTGATTACTCAACAGTGTGTTATTCAGTTTCTATGTGTTTGTGGGATTTGTGCTGTATCTTTTATCATTAATTTCTAATTTCATGGTGAGATGATCTGATAACATACATGGGATAATTTCAACTCTCTTGCATTTATTTAAATATGTTATGTTGTCTAATATATGATCTATTTTAGAAAATATCTATGTACTGCTGAGAAGAATTTGTATTCTGATGTTGTTGGGTTGAGCACACTGCATATTTTTATCAAGTCCATTTGTCCACATGTTTGATTAAGTTCTGTTAATTCTTTGCTGATTTTCTGTCTGCTTGATCTGTCCCTTGGTGTCAATGGTGTGTTAAGGTTTCCTGTTATAACTGTGTTACTGCTAATTTGGTTGTACATTTTTTAAATACTTTATATAACTGGGTTCTCTGGAATTTGGTGCATATATATTTAAGATTGTTATCTCTTCCTCTTGAAGTTTTCCCCTAAACAGTATATAATGACCTTCTTTATTGCTTCTGATCATTATTGGCTGGAAATTCACATTTTCTGCAAACAGAATAGCTACCCTCACTTTTGGGGGTGTTCCTGTTGCATGAAGTATTGTTTTCCATCCTTTGTCTTTCAGTCTGTGAGTATCCTTTTGGATTAGATGGGCTTCTTATAGACACAATATGGTTGGATGCTGCTTCTTGATCCATTCTGCCAGTCTGTTTTTTTTTTTTTAACTTGGTACACTGAGACCATTTACATTAATGGTTATAACTGTTATATCTTGGTTTATCTTTCACATGTTATCTTTCTGCTGTGAATCTTTATCTTTCAGTTCTGTTTAATTGTCTGCTTTGCTTACTGATTTTTTCCTAAGTGCATTTAAACTGTCTTTCAGTATTCTTAGTGGGGTTGGCTTGGTGATCATGAAGTTCTTCAGGTGTTCTTTGTCATGGAAGTATCTCATTTCTCCATCCATTTTGAAGGACAGTTTTGCAGGTTACATTATTTCTAGGTTGGAAATCATTTTCCTTTAGGATCTGGAACACTTCAATCTATGCTCT